GGTCCCACACCCATGTGTGGCGGATAAAATTCAGGAGGACATCTTGGCTGGGAAGATCCTCCCTGAAGACTGAAGGGTCCCCGTCCCACCCCAGGCATCCTGTTCAGGGTTCCAGTGCCAGGAAGAGAATCCCCATAACTTCTGGCTGGGAAAACCAGTGGGAACTGAGGTTCAGGGAGGCTGAGGTGGCTGGAGCCCCAGGCACCTCCTCTTAAAGGGCCCGTGCACAGACTTACTCGGACTTGCTCCCTCTAGGCTTGGAGGGGAGGCAGCTCGAGGAGCGCCGGAGTCATACAGAGAAGAACTGAGCTGTTTGGCATTGGAGCGAGGGTTGGAGAGGCGGCTTCTCCAGGACAGACGTGCTGTCAGAGGCCTCGTTCCTTTAGTGAGCCCTTCCCTGGGGCGGCAGACAGAAGCCATGTCTGGGACTCCAGCGACTTAGCTCACTCTGGTTGCCCCGCCCTGTTGATTCCCTGAGGCCCCGCCCCACCCAATTTTCAGGCCCACCCTAGCTGTTGCCAGTTGTTTAATCATAGGATTGGTCTGTCTGGATCCTGCTTCAGGTTTTCCTAAATTCTTTCAAACAAGCAGCATCTGGTCTCAGATAGCCCCATACCTCTCGTTAAGTAATAAACAGAAACAAACACAGGGAGGGAGCCAAAATGAGGAGACACAGAAACAGGTCCCAAATGAAAGAACAGAACAAAACCCCAAGAAAAGAACTAAGCGAAATGGAGATAAGCAACCTAACAGATGCTGAGTTGAAAATACTGCTTATAAAGATGCTCAGTAAACTTAGTGAGGGCCTCAAGAGCATTAAAAAAGGCCAGTCAGAAATGAAGGATGCACAGTCAGAAATGAAGGAGGCACTAACTGAAATAAAGAATAATTTACACAGATTCAATAGTAGAGTAGGTAAAGCCAAGAAGCAAACCATTGATTGGAATACAAGGAAGCAAAAAACACCCAATCAGAACAGCAAAAAGAAAAAACAGAATCCAAAAAAATGAGGATAGTGTAAGGAGCCTCTGGGACAACTTCAAGCGTGCCAACATTCACACAAGAACAGGCAGATAGATCAATGGAACAGAATAAGGAACCCAGAAATGGACCTAAGACAATATGCTTAATTAATATTTGACAAAGGAGGCAAGAGCATACAATGGAGTAAAGACAGCCTCTTTAATAAATGGTGTTGGGAAAATTGAACAGCTACATGCAAAAAAAATAAAACTAGACCATCAGCTTACACCATACACAAAAATAAACTCAAAATGGATAAAAGACTTAAATGTGACCCGTGGATCTATAAAAATTCAAAAGAAAACGTAGGCAACAAAATTTCAGACATCATACGCAGCAAAATTTTCACTGATACATCACCTAAGGCAACAGAAACAAAGGAAAAAATGAACATATGGGACTACATCAGACTAAAGTTTCTGCACAGCAAAAGATACAACCATTAAAATGGAAAGGCAACCCACTGTATGGGAGAGCATAATTGCCAATGACACATCAGATAAGGGGTTAATGTCCAAAATATATAGAGTACTCATACAGCTCAACAAAAGGAAGACAAAGAACCGAATTAAAAAATGGGCAGAGGAGCTGAATGGACACCTCTCCAAATAGGACATACAAATGGCCAAGAGACATATGAAGAAATGCTCCACATCACTAATCATCAGAGAGATGCAAATTAAAACAACAGTGAGGTATCATCTCACACCTGTCAGAATGGCCACCATCAACAAATCATCAAACAACAAGTGTTGGTGAGGGTGTGGAGAAAAGGGGACTCTAGTACACTGCTGGTGGGAATGCAGACTGGTGCAGCCACTATGGAGAACAATATGGTGTTACCTCAAAAAATTAAAAATTGAACTTTCATTTGACCCAGTGATCCCACTTCTAGGAATATACCCTAAGAAGCCTGAAACACCAATCAGAAAGAATATATGTACCCCCATGTTTGTAGCAGCACTATTTACAATAGCTAAAATCTGGAAACAGCCCAAATGTCCATCAGTAGATGAATGGATAAAAAAGCAGTGGTACATATACACAATGGAGTACTATGCAGCTGTCAGAAAGAAAGATCTCTTATCCTTTGATACAACATGGAGGGACCTGGAAAGTATTATCCTAAGCAAAACAAACCAAACAGAGAAAGACAAGTATCATATGATCTCACTTATTTGTGGAATATAATGAACATAACAGAGATGTGGAAGTAGGTTACAGACTGACAACCCTGAGAAGACGGTGTGGTGGCAGGAGGGAAGAGATAAACCACAGAACTTATATGCATGTACGCATAACCAATGGACATGGACAACAAAGCCGGGGACGGGGAGGGGGGATGGGGAAGAGGGTGTCAGTGGGGTAAAAAAATATATATCTGTAACAAAAATAAAATTAAAAAAAAAAAAAAAAAAAGAAAGTTTAATGAAGTAGATATTGTAACATAGTATCCCACTGGTAGTGTTTTATGATGTCCAGGAAATTTCTGGTAACTCTGTTTACATGGGTCTCGTCAATCAACACAGTTTTCAAGTAGGAAGTGTCAATTCCCATAGTCATTTAACTACCATAATTACTGAGTTGGTCCTTTCTAAACCTATATCTTTGAATACCCAGCCTAACTGAGTTTCTTAGACAAAGGCCACTGTTACAGGAATGAGTGAATCTTTTATCTCCATCTGAAGATTAAAGACAGAATTTGTAGTTTTACCAAGTCTCTCAGGGGCTGTCTCAGAGTGGGGAGGCAGGGGTAACTGTTTGGCTGGGTAGATAAATGTTTTATAAATTGGAATTCTTTTGAGGACGAGTTGTGTTTTGTTTTTTAACCCAGAAAATCACTGCTTTAAGGCTATCAAAGTAAAAGACCAGTGTTGTTGGCCAGTGTCGCACCATGTTCTTTCACCTCCTGGGAGGAGGGTTTTCTGTTCACCACAGTTGAGATACGATAACAATGCAAATTATACACATATGCCCACTTTTTAAAAGGTGCGTAAAGGGACCAAATGTCCCTATTTTAAATATAAATAGCATTTCATTCTTTTCATGGTATCAGAAAATTAAATGCATATATGACTTTTCCAGATTATTAAAGTCCACCCCTTTTAAATATTATTTAAAAATTTTTATTACAGTATCTCTTTTCACACCATACACAAAGATAAATTTCAAGTGGCTAAAGATTTACATGTAAAAATCAAAACTATAAAAAAATTAAATCATTTTTATAACCTTGAGGTAGGAAAGGCTTTCCTAAGCAAGAGATAAAATCCAGAAGTTATAAAGGAAAACTTAACAGGTATGACTCCATTAAAAGTTTTTAAACTTTTATATAGTAAAAATATTGAAAAATATACACAGAGAAAAATAATTATACCATGTATAACAAAGATTATATATTTGTATTATACAGAGGGCTCCTTCAAATCAATAAGTAAAAGATAGTCAATGGAAAATAAGCGAAGGATATGAACTGGCAATTCACACCCAAAAAATACAAATGGTAAATGAACTTGACTAAATGTTAAGAGTTCAGTAACAGTCATTAAAATGCAGAGTAATACAATAGTGAAATATGTTTTCACTATTTCATATGAAATATGAAATAGTGAAATATGATTTTGCAATAGCCAGCATGGGGAAATGTTGGGAAGTGAGGAAGAATTTTCCCTTTAAATTTAACAGTGTTGGTGGCACGTAAATTGGTTAGGCCTTTGAAAGGACTTGGTAGAATCCATAAACTTAAATTACATATGCCCTTTTCTCTGATAATTCCACTCCTAAAAACCTTTACTACAGAACATGCTTCCACAAGTATTCAAGATATGTACAGGAATGCTTATTTAGTGTAAAAGGAAAAGTTAAACACATAAATGTCAAGGTAGCTCTGTAGATGGCATGGATAGTAAGGGGGAAAGCAACGAAGAGAAGTATGTGGTGAGTGTGGGAGTGGCACTGTTTTCATACGTGCATGTTGATGCACAGGAAAGGTCCTGGGGAAGTCTGTGTTACCCCTGGAAGGCAGGCTTTATACTTTTCTGTATTGTTTGAGTTTTTATTTATGTGTTATGCTTATAATTTTGAAAATTTGTAACATTGCTTGCTTCTTTGCCTTTTTATACGAATCACTATACAGACCATAGTTTAATTTTTAAAGAGTTTTGGTAGCTCAGAAAAGTAATAATAGTAATAATAATGGCTGCTATAGACCATAGTTTAATTTTTAAAGAGTTTTGTTAGTTCAGAAAAATAATAGTAATAATAATGGCTGCTACAGTTTTATTGAGTACTTATTTATGCCAAGCATTGTGCCAAACCCTTTGTACATATGTCTCATGATTATGTACATACGTTACCACACTCTATGCCTTGAAGAATCATAACCTGTTTCTTTATACCTTAAAACATGCTGAATTTCTATGTTTAATGTGTTGGTGTCTTTTTATAGAGTTTTCCTGTTTTCTCTTTTACTTTTGGGTTGTCAACTGTCATTTCTCACTCCTATGCTGCTAGCAGTCTGGGTCTTTGGGGTCCTACTTTTAATGATGTGTGTGTAGGACATTTGCCATTATTAAGTTTCTTTAAAGACTGAGTTGCTCCGATGGTTCTGTTATGAAGTCACATAGTGCTTTACTTATTCATGTTCCCATCTTCCCAAAAGGGACTTGTGATCTGTGAGAAATAGGCATGTAATTGTGTTTTTTTACTATTTACTGTTTCACAGCTGGCAAATGATCTAAAATATAAATAAAAGCTAATTATGGGTTACTTTCCCCATTCAGTTTACAGAGATTAAAGCTGTAGTGGTTTATTTCTTTTTCAGAAAAAATATCAGTTTCTCAGTATTTTTCTAGGCATTTAGGATAATACTGAAAACAATGTAAGATTTCTGGTGCTTTCCTGTAAAGTATGAGGGGGCTCTTAAAAATTAATACCACCTAGATTTTCATTCTTCTTTTTGTTGTTGTTTTTTTTAGATTCTCGCCTCTATTGAGCTGCTGGCCCGCTCATTGCCAAAAATTCACCGCAGTGCATCAGAACCCTCCTTGAATCGGGCTGGCTTCCAAACAGAGGATTTTAGTCTCTATGCTTGTGCTTCTCCAAAAACACCCATCCAGGCAGGGGGATATGGTGCGTTTCCTGTCCACTGAAACAAATTAAACTCATGAGAGAGTATAGGAGGGACAAAGGAAAATGAACATACTTGCATATATATTTGTTAAGTTGAATAGGATTTTTTTAAAGGTGAGCCAAAGAACAGTTAGGTGATTAAAGACTGGATGTAATGTTTCCCGATCGAAAATTCATACTTAGCATTGGATTTTCAACATCCAAGCGTTTTTTAAAATGCATGGACATTGCTAAAAATTTGCAATGCCTCTTCCAGATGCTTTACTTCCTGTTCCAAGTTTGTTTTATTTACTTGGTTACTCCAGTTATTAAACTTCAATGAAACTTTTTCCGTGCACCTTTTGTCGTTAGCTGCTGCTCATCCGTCAGGGGCTCCCAGGACAGCGGCACCCCTGTGCACTCGAGTGCAGGCAGGAGACTCCCAGGGGCTCAGCCTGTGCGGCGAACCAGACAGATCACATTCGGGAAGTCACTAAAATTGAATAAGCTTACTTTTATTCTTAATATTTTTCCTGTAACTATTTCTTTTTATTACAGTTTGGAAAGTATGAATGTCCCTTATTCCCTTAAGCATTAGACTAGACCAGATTTCTTTTATAAATTGTGGGTACAGGTAATCAAAGCTTTTGCTGAGGAGTGGCATGTTTGACCTGAGTAGCATGGTTTAACTTTGGATCTTGAGTGGAGAAATGTTATAAATTGGAGTTCCTTTTAGATATTTCTTTATATATTAAAGATATCTTCCATAGAAGCCAAATTTCCTTATAAATGCACTGCCTCCTCCTCCCCTCAAAAGCTTCACCGAATCCTGTGAGAACTCTTAGGTTTGTTTTTCTTTTAGATATCTCTGGTTGCCAAAATTATTATTATTTTAAATTATCTTACCTCTTGTGGTGCCTATTTTAGCAGTCACCTTATCCATGTGTCTCATAAAATTTCCGTGCTTCTCATATTCCATACCAAGCAATTCTACTTATTATGAATGAATGCCATTCTTTTTTGTGTGTGTTCCGTGGTACAAAGTATTTGTTAGCTCTTTCTGGTGCTTACACTGTCTTGTGTAAAAAATGACTGTTATGTGGCAGTCAGTATATTCTTAACTGTGAACCTTAATCTAATGGGGAAGCAACGTTGCTGTCCTCTAATCAAAGAAGTTGCCATCTCTACTTCAGAGTCAGCCTAGGGACCAAAGCTAGCTGCCTCAATACATCTTCATTTATTCAGTTTGAATTTGTGCTGATTTTTAAATATAGCCGACAGTCAAAATTTATTTGGGCACATGGACAACATCTGGATAAATGCTATTCTTCTTTGAAGCCAATAAAGAAGAAAATTAGAAAGATTTTAATTTAATAATAATTTTGTTATTAAGTACCACACATTTTTTAAATACTTTTTTTATTTCAATAGGTTAGATTTCATCCAGGAAAACCACTCAGTGATATGGCATGCCTTTTGTCCCTTGTTTAGGTAGCTTAAGATAAGTATTGCCATTCATGTTTTTAGAAATTGATTCATGATTTTCAATTTAGATAAGAGTAGTGAAAAAACTTTTTATCATATTTTAAAGAATAAGGAAGACAAGATAATGTAATATATTGGAAAAATCAAAGTACATGATTTCTAAATCCTCCAGTGACACTAAAGATAAGATTATTAGTAATTATTAACCTGTTAACCGAGTTATACCCTGGGAATTCCCTTTTTACTGTATGCAACGTTTGACATATTTATACGTCCCGCTCAGTTAACAGGTTAAGTGGGGTTTTGTTCCCAAAGTTGACTTGCTCTGTGGTATGCTTGAACACTGGGGCATTTTGAGGCACAAGAGCCAGAAGGTTTTTTTTATTGATAGAGTTCTTTCTATAATCCCCCAGTATGCTGGCTTCATTTTCATCTCCCTTTCTTTGTACATTCTTTTTTCCCCCCAACACTAACCTCCTGCCCGGCCCCCACACCCCCACCTGCATTCTTTCCTAGTCAGTCTCCTTTGCCAGAGGGCATTCATTGCTCAGCTCTTAGAACTGCTATCTCATTGAAACCTGCCTCCAAAGGGTCTCATAGTAATTCTCTTCTTTCCAAATGGGGCCGCTGGAAATGTTAGTGGAAAAACATTAAAAATAGCAGGTGAGATGTTTAGATGATGGATCTGGAGAATAGGAAGCATTAGAATGATATATGGTAGTTTCCCTTTCTGTTTGTTGTTTATTTTATACTGAGTATTACATACATTCTCTAAATAAAGAAAATGATTATTTTCCTAATCATATGTAAAGGTAATCACTTTAACTAGGTAATTGCTACCGAAGGACATTCATTTTCTTGTGACTGACTGCTTTCCTAAAACCTGAACCCTCAGATATTTTCATTGATGTTGTTTTCCTTCTTTAGGAGGCAGCCTTTGCATAAAATTTATTTCACACATTAGAAGTTTACTAGTCAATGATGAAGAATGAGATTTGTCTTGATTTTAAGTAGTTTAGGAATCATAGCAGCTAATCAAATGTTTCAGGTTTGTTTCTTTCCTGATATTATAATATTGTATTAACCATTTAAATACTGAGCCAGTAGTTAGAATCTTCCTCTCTAAATAGTACATAGCCTTCCTCTAAAGTTGGCCATTCTCTCAATTTAAGGAAATGATCTACCTTTCTTTTTTTCTGTTTCTTTGTTAATCCTCACCCAAGGATATTTTTTCATTGATTTTTAGATAGAGTGGAAGGGAGGGAGGAGGAGAGCAAGAGAGAGAGAAACATCAATGTGAGAGAGATACATTACACATGGATTGGTTGCCTCCTGCAGGACCCTGACCTGGGCCAGGGATCAAACCTGTAGCCCAGGTGTTTCACCAGGAATTTAATCTGCGACCCTTTGGTCTGCGGGCTGACACTCTAACTGCTGAGCCAAACCAGCCAGGGCCTTTTCCTTTTTTCTTTTTTTTTTAATGTACAGTATTATGAAATGGGTACTTTGTGACTAAAGCATTTTGTCAGTCATAGGCTTTTTTAATTGAGAATTATTGAGCATTTATATAGCAATTTTTATTTCATCTCTTCTGTGATCATTTCTCTAAAGAATGTAAAAAATCCAGTGTCTATACCAGAATGTCCTCTCCTTTTGAAACTGCCTGAAAAGTCACCACAGAATAACATTATTAGATTTTCATAGAATATTTCTCTTTAAGGGGAATTTTTATCAAATTATATGTATAATAGCCACTGAAACATACATTCATTTCTAGGATGTAGTTATTTAGTAATATCTTAAAACTAGTTAATAAAATCCTTAGTTTTCAAATAAATAAACCATGATATTTAAGGTGTCTAAAATCACAAGGTCTTCCCAAGTGTCCTTTGCCCTATTCCTAAATAAAGTCAAATGGAAAATAGAGCTTAGGTTCTTCTCAACCAGAAAGGAAGTTAAAAAAAAAAAAAAAAAGTTTCATTTTGGTCTCTGGTTGATTTTTCAGTTAATAATTATAATAATATACTGAGATTTTTTTTTTTTAAATCAGAGTATCTGAACATTTCACTACAAATAACTTCACACAAGCAGACTCTTACTTCAAATAAAATAAGTTGGGAGGTAGGATAATAGAGTTTTCCAGATAATGCAGGAAAGAATAAGAAAACATTTTTCCCCAAAAACAGATCCATCACCTGTTACCCACGTCTTTTTTTTTAATGTCTCCATGATTTCACGGACATATATGGAAAGAATTTATTGATCCCTAAACTCCTAAGTTCTTTTTGTCCTTGTTTATTCCTGGACCTGAAGTCTGAGTGTGATAAGAATTAGTATTTCCCTTATTGGTGTTCAATTTGGACTGTGTTGATAAGATTTTGTGCTCTTTGGGGGTTGTTTTGGATGTTTTTATTTTTAAGGTTAATAGTCAAGTTTGTAGAGTAGAAACTATTCAACAAAATGGAGAGTCTGATTGTAATAATGAATAAGAAACAAGATTTTTTTCAAAGTTGTATTTTAATGAAGTATATAAGATTTGGCTTAGAGTTATCATTTTCTGATATTCTCATCTAATAGATGAATTCTAGCCATTTTTATAAAGGTTTCTGTTAAGTAAATCCTGTTTTAATTTTATTTTTTAAATATGTTTTTATTGGTTTTATATAGAGAGAAACATCGATGTGCAAGAGAAATCTTGATTGGCTGCCTCTTGCATGCCCCCTACTGGGGGGTGAGCCTGCAACCCGGGCATGTGCCCTGACCCAGGGAATCTAACCTGGACCCAGCTCTCAGTCCATGGGACGAAGTTCAGTCCACTGAGCCTCACCGGCCAGGCCAAATCCTGTTTTTTACATTGGCTTTCTTTAATGAGATTTAGACTGTGCTAGATACAGTGACTACTCATAAGAATGTTGAAAATTGCTTTTAAGAAATGAATTAAAATACTGAAAAAAAAAATAGCAACCTTAAAACTATAAGGTACTCAAACCATAATGAGAATGTTTATGTATTTCTTGAGACTGTGTTAATATAATATTCTCATATGGTTATGCTCTAAACATTTTACTCTCCAAGGTCTTAGTAATTTGGCTAATTTTTTTAATCAGTGTCAAACTTCCTAGTCCTTTTCAATTTAAATATGCGGTAATAATTTTTTTACCCTTCCTTGATCTCTTGACTCACAATACCTTGGCTAGTTGCTTGTTAAAAGGAATCTTTAGATGGAAAGAGATAGTACCCAGTGAATAGTTGTATTCAGAATGGGAAAAAAATATATTAATTATTGAAAATTGTTTAGGGGCTTGTTAATTGTCAAGACCATGGACTTCGGAGTCAGCACCTGGCTTTGCATTCCAACTCTGCCATTTTCTACCTGTGAGATCTTGGGTAAATTACTTAACCACTATTATCCCCAGCTTGTTCCTTTGTAAAAATAAACAGAAGTAATAGCACCTGCCTCGTAGAGTTATTATGATGATCAGATGCAAACATATATGAAGTATTCAGTGAGGCACCTGGTATATAACAGGCACTCAATTAGTTTCTAATATTAGCAACTTACAGTCTAAGGGTTCAGACAACCAGCCATTAGCAATCTGTTGGTTGTTGAAACACGCCAGTAATGCCCTGGCCAGCTTTGCTCAGTGGTTAGAGCGTCGGCCTGCGGTCCAGAGAGACCCAGGTTTGGTTCCCACTAAGGGCATGTTGCAGTTTGTCCCCGCTCCTGGTTGGGTTGTGTGAGTGGCAACCAATCGATGTGTCCCTTTCACGTCGATGTTTCTCTCTTTCTCTCCCTCCCACTCTATCTGAACAAAATATCGAAAAATGTCCTCGGGTAAGGATAAAAAAAAAAAAAAAGAAAGAAAGAAACACGCCAGTATTCTCTAGTGACCAGAATCTAACAGCAATCAGAAATGAGTAGCTTAGTCCTGGATTAAATAGTGTATTCCTGTAAGTGATTGCTTGGATCCTCATCAGAACCTGCTATTACTGAAAAATTATGTGAAGGCTGGCTAATTCTAACAGTTCTCGGTTATCAGCCAAACCCCAGAAATTAACTATAGTGTATATAATAAGAGGAACCGACCTCTAGTTACAAGTAGAAGCTGTAAACAAAATGGTAGGTGAAAAATAATGGCCCCTCTATGAAGCCCCCAAATTCAGTAAGTAAAAGGAGTGTCATACCTCAAACAGACTTCGTGGTTTCAAAACTCCTTATGCTGAGAATGATGTCCAGTGACATGTACATGCAATTTGTAGGTAGTTTAAAAGGTGAAATGAACTAGAAGATGGAGGGTGTGGATTTTCTTTCCTGCTGTTGAATGTATAATGTGAACAAATTGTTTGATCTCTTAATTTTATCTTTTGCAAAAGGAGGATAATTTTTGCTTCTTCCTTTCTGATAGTGGCATTATAATGAAAATAAGTTAATAATTCAGGCGCAAATCAAACTTGATATTTTACAATCAGTTTCTGAGATAATTTGTTCATTGGAACTGTTTTCGGCTTGATTATAACCATAGCATGTAAAACCCAACTAGGAAATTCTCTGCAGACTGATATTTAATTGATGTAATTGAACCATAGTCTATGTACCAAGTTTTGTTCTTTCATGTGTTTAAGCCATTTTTGCTTTTTAAAATAGTGATGATGTTGCTAGATTTGTGATAGCTAGTCATCTTTCAGTGAGGTTCCAATGAGGCTTTACTGTGTGTCTAGGTTGAGATAACTTTTTTAAAATTAGCTCTTGTCCTCCCTCTACAGGAGAATTTGCAGCCTTCAAGTAGCCACACCATCATGGCAGCATCTACTCTTATTTCTTAAGTCTTGTGTTTGTACAATTTGTTAACATCAAAACACAGTTCTGTTCCTCAGATCTTTTTTTAAAGATACAAAATTTTCAATGCATAAGCTGGTGTGGAACAGAATGGAAATTCCCATCCAAGAAAAGAGGGAAGAAAGTTTTAGGAACCAGAATTCTCTGCTGCCAGTGTTTCTTCTTCAACACAAACACCACGTGCATACAAGTCTGCCCAGTCCCAGGAAGAAAGAGGAGAGACCCTGAGTTCTGACCTTTTGATGGTCAGGCATGATGGAAAGAAACTGCTGCTACAGCTTGGGAGATGTGCTCTGAAAGTCTGCCGGTCGACGGGGCCCGCTAACCACCAGCTCAGTGTGTGGCTGCTCATCTGATGGGGCAGTAGCAATCACCAAGCACCGTTCTCTTTCCTGTTCTGGGCGGCTGGTGGAGCTCTCTCCCGTAGCCACCACTGGTTAATTTCCGAGGGATGGAACAGAAATGCAGCATGCCCTTCTGTGTGGTGCACATGCAGGCCTTGACAAATTTTTCTCAAAATGAAGCTATTTTATTTAAATGGAGGATGAGAGGGTAGACAGAGCTACGTTTTGGTGCAGAGGCAAAGGGAATGCTGCATCCTTCTCCTGACCTCCTGGGTTTCTGGCCTTCTGTTTCCTTGCTCACTAAGGGTGTCTGCCTAACTAAGCAGGCTGGAAAGTGCTGGCAACATTGCCTTCTTTGCTCACTGGGTCCAGCAATGCAGAGAAGTGTTTGGGGATATTTTTTCCCTCCACAGTATAGCAAGTTCTCAGGAAAATCTTCCTCCTAAGCTCTTCCAGTCACCAAGTACTTACGTGGCTATTTTGTCCAAGGCACAAAAATGCCATGGTGGTATCTAACTAAAAGCCTACAAAACTTCTTGATAACAGTTTTGAATGTGAGACATTTATGTAAATTAAATGTAAGGTACAAGTTTTAATTTCTGAGTTTCTTCTATTATATTTTTATTAAAAATAATTTTCAGATTTAATTGAATTGGAATAAAATAATACTTCCCATTAGAATTATATATCCTGGAAAATTGTATTTTTGTTATATAAACAACTTTTAAAGAAAAATCATTATCCTTTTCTCTACCTAAATATGGGGAGTCTTAGCGTATGACAAATATTTATAATTTTTAAATTAATGGTACTTGCTGGATCCACACTAACATCTTTGCTAATATCTCATTGTTTCTTCCAGTTTACTCTTACACTACACTCTCATCCTCTTTCTAGTCTTTTTTCTAGAATATGCACCTAAAATAAAAACGGTGGTGTCTCCATACGTTCTTCTTTTCCTTTTTCCCAAGCCTGGTCTTCAAAAGGTTGGGTGATTTGGCAGCTGAGTTCCCCAGGCAGACAGCAGAGCAATTTAGGTGTATTGGGATTGAGAGAGGATGTGTGAAGTCTAACATCAGTTGTTTTTATAGAAAGAGCTGCTGTGATATTGAGAACCTCATTCTTTATCTTTGTATGAATGGAAAATATAACTTAGTCATAGCTTCCTTTGGCCTTTACCAAAAGGTGGTGTAAGTCACAGTAGTGACAAAGAAGGTGACTCTAGACATATTAATGGCAAATACCTCCCTTATTATGAATCTAGAATTTCTTATCAGGATTTGGGAATGTAAATAAAATCAAATGTACTTAGCTTAACCAAGCTAGGTAGCCAAGGATCTGAAAGAAATTGGATAGGACCTATCAAATAAATCAGGGAATTAGACATTGTTATTTTAAAATTTCAAATTGGAACTCACCCCGCTATCTTTTAGCCTACTAAAGCTCACTGTCGTTAAATGATTTTTGCTAACATACCTGTATTCACGGGAAGGCCTACTGAAGATTCCACAGACTTGTGAAAGGTTGTCCTAGTAGAGTGGAAAGTATACTGAAGCTATTAGTGAGTTTGAAAAGTTTTTGTGAGTTTGAAAAGTTTTTGTTCTTAAGTTTTACATGCGCGAAGCAGTATCTTAGCAAAATTCAGAAATTGCAAAGGTGGAAACGGTTCATGCTCATTTGAAGAGCATCTGTGTGTATAGTGCTGCCCTTTTAAAAGCATTGTCTGTCTGTCTTTCTAAATATGTCCCCATGGATGGTTTTAAACATGCTTGTGTTTCCTTTCCAAGATTACAGAGAACTGGGCTTACACTAGAGGCATGTGTGCTGAGCAGGTGAAGCCTGCTGGAGGCTCAGGCAGGGCTGCCTGGGCCGCGGGAGCCAGCACAGGGGCTGGTGAGGAGGCGGCCTAGCCTTGGAGTCTTCCAAACAAAATTCAAGGTGATGGCACTTTTCCTCCCTTTCTTTGTAGAATAGGTTGCTATCTCATTTGAAAAGGAGAAACAGACTTGATCTCAAATGAGTCTGTGCCTGGAAGTCAGGTCAGGGTATTCTTGAGAGATTTCTATAGAGCCCTTAACAAATAAAAGTAAGATCTGAAAATTTTTCTTTTCTTCCTTTTTTCCATCAAATTGTTTTTCTGTAGTTTACAGTTGACATGAAAAAGGAGTTTCCCTCAGAGTTTCCCTTGCTTTTCTTTCTGGGGCTTAACTACAGGTAGACTTGCTGAGCTCCTAAGAAGTACAAGGAAGTAGTCCTTGGCGTGCAAAGCACTTTATGAGTAATGTGTGCAGACAGTGTGGCTGCCTCCCCGATTACCTTGGAAGGCGGTGATCACCTGTCTTCCGTCAAGTGGCCGCAGTGCCTGCTCTAGGGCGGTCCGTGTGGGGTAAGGAGAAGCGAAGCCTTCTGAAAACTTTGAGAGCAACCGTGAAAGATTGTTTTTAAAAGATGTAGTATTCCTGATGGACTTTTTAAAATCATTAAACTACAGTGTAGGGCTTATGCCACTGGAATAATATTGACCAAAAAGTAGTTTATAAAAGGGATTTGTGAATAGAAAAATCCAGTGTGATTATTTGTACTTATGTGCACCTTAAAAGAAGGCTCTGTCTAGCTGTCAGATTCTGTTCCCCAGTTGTATGTGAGATCTGGTAGGATGTACTGGGATATCCTAGAAGATAAAATCATATATTCAGAATAAAGTGTATGTGTTATATTCATGTTGGTGTTGGAGAAGAAAGGGCACTATATAGTGAGTAATAAAGAAATCAAGACTTCAACACTGTCCACCTGAAACTGTAAATATTCCCTAGGTTCTGGTGGGGTGCAGACACAGCTCTTTATCACACAATATTATCTTTTATTCATCAGGCAACAGTCGGGACAGCTGCGCGCACCTCCTCAGCCTCACCACCCCTCCTGTATATTCACCCTCTGCCTCAGGCAAACCTCATCTAGCTTTAGTTTGAAACATACTGCAGAGTTCAGGTGACCTCTTCAAAAAACTACCTCCTCAGAATGAGGTAATGAATAGTTATTTATTTTAAAATATGAAGTCAGGAGCTCTAGAACATGAAGATGATTTAGGGTTTTAGCTTTTCTGTGTACTTGTATTTGAACGCTCTCATTTTGTCCTAAAGGGCATCATATATTTATGCAGTGATACTGAAAAGTGTGGCTCAGAGTGTCTGAATGTTGGAAGTGGTGCCAGAATCTGTTCAGGGGTACGTCTCGGAATCTCAACCTTAAA